TCATGACGCTTGTAAGGAGAAGTGATGGGGCTCATTCAACAACTTAGCCCTTGTGGCAGCTGCTGCGGACAGCAGAGATGGGGACAGAGGATGAGAGAGACAGCCGAATGCCAGGGTAACCTGCAGGCCCGGCCCCCACCAGCCCAGGCAAGCTTTGGATGCTGCACTTTGCGTACAGCTGTTGCAAAGGGTGCGGTCTTGTCATTACTCACTGCTGGTTTAAAGAAAAAAAAGAGTACAACAGATTCAAGACTATTCAGTAATGCAACCCTTCAGTGGCCCGACAGAGCTAGTCGCTTCGGTGGCCCTCTCAAGGGCTCTAGCAGATAGGGACTGGGACACGGGGAAGAGAAAGGCCAGTCGGCCACCGCCTTCCACAGCTAATGGATATGGTCACTCAGGTACGACAGGGAAACAGCAGCACAGGAGGCCTTCGCTCCTCTTGTGGGAGGTTCTGGGAGCCTGACTCGGTCAGGGTTGTTCCCTGAGACTCAGAGGACTGCCGTCGGCCCGCTTCTCTGCCTAGGTTGGGGCAGGCCTGGTGGGGTGTGCCGTCTGCTGGTCAGGACAGATGCTACACGGCAGATGCACACAGCTGTCCTGTCATTGCCCTCCTCCCTGTCCCCAAAAGAAACCTGAAATGTGGGGCTCTGATAGATTCTTTTTAATGAGCTCCTCACTGTCATGCTCTGGAAACTTCAGGGCTTTGATGGCCAAAGGAAGGAGGCAGCAGGTGAAGCACGTATCCTAGGCCACCAAGGGCTGGATATGTATCCCAGAGAGGAGTGGGCAGGGCAGGGGGGCTACCTTAGCAGAGCTGGCCCCAGGAAATCCCAAAGAGGGGACATCAAGACATGTGTCCCCCATCCTTGCCAAATATAATACAAACTACAGATAACTGTTCACGTGACAGTCACAATGGGGAATTTAAAACAGCTAGTTTCTGAGTATATTCAAGACATAACTAAGTTGTTAAAAAAAAATGGATTCAGCCACAGTAGCTCAGGGAATATGGTTGTTTGCAGGTCTGAGTCCTAATCTCAACTCTTCCAACTACTCATAGGACCTCAGACAGGTTCCTGAACCTCTCTGCCTCTCTGTCCCCATCGGAGAGCTCTGAGGGTGCCGTGTGTGGTGAGGTGGGACTTGGCAAGTGGGGCTTCGAGTCCTGGTTCTACCTCTAGGAAGCAGTGTGACCTCTGCCATCACTTAACCTCTTTGGGCTAATAAAATAAAGGATGTAAAGATAGGGGGCTCTGCGGTCCCTTTGGATGTCACCAGGCTGCTTCCTCCCCATGATGTCCCCCCCCCCAGCATGCTTAAATCTCCCCCCACTCCCACTGGAAGAAAAGCGATGCCATCCGAGACCAACCTTATGACCCAGCTCAAACTCCACAGCTGGGCTAGGAGACAAGAGGAAGAGTCGAGAGTGTAGAGGTATGAATACAATGGCCAGATAAATCAGAGTCACAAACGAACTCTAGAAGCCCCACTCCCTGAGAAGACATTTTCCTATTATTAGACCACCCAGAGCAAAATCCAAGGCCACCTCTAATAGCGGGCCAACAATGTCCTGAAAGGGCCCAACTCTGCGGTTTGCCGCATCACCTCCAATCAGAATCAACTTACAAAGTCGATTTTAAAAGAAGCAAAGTGCCAGTTCCATTTTGGAAGGGGAAGAAAAATCGACTGCTTCTATTTGCAGCTCTGTAAGGAACCTTCTGGCACAATGTCAAAGGTGGCATCCTGCTCCCCAGGGTGGGTGTGGACAGCCGTTGGGGGGAGCCCCGTGCAGGTCACCTTCAGCCTGAGTGACGGGAGTCTCCACAGGACATGAGAGGAGCCCCCCTCATGCTCAACGAGGAGCGCTCGCTGCCTGGCAAGAACAGGAGAAGTACCAACCTTTCTTCTTGGGAGGCAGTGTGGTTTGGAGAAGAAAGGTTTTGGATCCAGGGGACCCCACTTCTGCTTAATGCTTGTGTGATTGTGGGTAAGCTACTCTTCTCATAAGAGCCTCGATTTTCTCGTGTGTATCGTGGGGAGAACAACGCCCAATACCACAGGGGGTTTGGGGGGGATTCAATGAGATAATTTACCTAAAATACCCTGCACACAGGAGATGATGGAGAGATGGCGCACAGAACGAGCTTGGATGGCTCTCTGCCGATGGAGAAGGAGTCTGGGAGAAGCTTGTCTTAGGGCAGAGTCAGCAAAGACTGTCCCTAGAGTTCAGATACAGCGGACACACAGGTATTTGCCACCAGGCAGGGAGGGAGCATATGTGGCACCTGGCACTGTCCCTTCCATTGAGAGAAGTCACACAAGAGCAGACAGTGGTCATGGACTCAAGAACACTCAAGAGAATCCAAGTTTTCCAAGTAAGCCCAGAGCATTCCAAACACTTGTGAATACCAGGTAAGGACCACTGACCCCCATCCTCTCTCAACCAGTAGCACAGGCAGCCAGGAGACTGAGCCCATATTTCCAAGGCCAGAGGCATCCACACAATGATGGGAAGAAATCAAGCAACAGGGACTAAACGTGAAGACCCTATAATGGTGCCTGCCTTACAAGGGATCTTTGAAACACCATCATCAGAGCAGAAAGGGGCTGGATTGCTGCTGGAGCCTCATGCTGCGTGACAGCCGGCTGATGGTACCCAGTCCCCTGAGCATGCTAGGAGGGAGGCTTAGGCGAATGCCTGACTTCTCAGCTTCCCATTGTGGCTCCTAATCACGGCTTTTGCAAATGGTAACACAGGGGCAAAAAGGAGCACGAAAGAAGGATCATAAATTCATTTCCTAGAATTTTTGTATTTAAAAATGAACTACTTAGGTCTTTTCTTCCTCTCCTTCCTTCAACTACATGCATTTCAGTAGATAAAATGTGAGTACTTACTAAAATATTTTTCATGCTTCTTTTAAAGAATATATATTTTCTTTCTATATACCCTAGCCCCAAATGAGAATTTTTTGTTTTAGACACTGAATATTTATCACAGAACTCAGAAGACTTTGGGGGGGGGGGACAAAAACAAAACCACACACACACACACACACACACACACACACACACACACACACAAAAAACACTTCCCAAGTCTTTTGGTTAAATACAGAAACATAAAATTGAAACCCTTGGAATAGCTCTTCTTACATTAGAAATGACTTAGGAAAATGAGACCCATAGAGTCATCTAGTTTCTTCTCCCTTTGTTCTTAATCACAGCCTTTCTGGTTAGATAGAAAAAAAAAAATTCTTTCCACTCAGTGCCTACAAAAGTTATTTATCCAGAGGGCAATTTAGGAGAACTTGAACTCCAACAGTCTACCACATGGCCCTCTGCTCGAACTATTACTGGGACTCGTTTGTGCTATTAAATCTCTAGCTCTGAACTGACAGCTGCAAAAGCTGGCATGCTCATCACAAAGTCGTGATGTCAGGGACCGCCATGTACCCCAGAGAGTGTCAGCTGACTAACCCAGCCAGGTTGCAGTTGGGCCCCGGTTGCAGTCGGGCCCGGGAAGCAGGGTGACTCCTTCCAGGAAGGCAATCCTTCCTCCTCCGTGCTGGAAAATGACCAACACATTTGGACACGCCCACCCTGCACTCACGGGCAGCCGGGGTGATACAGTGTATAGACCCTGGGAGGAGGATAGAGGATACAAGGGACTACTCTGTTCATTTTCAGATTCTGCCTCCTTGGAGCCTGGGATGGGAGTGGATGGTCCTCACGGCCCCTTAAACTCCCTTCCAGTTCTACCACCAGTCCTCTGAAGAGATGTCTACACCTCAGCTCTGTGCCAGAGACAACTGTTGGATTTCTTAGACCTGTAAACAAAAGCCACGTAGATTTGCAAGTAATGGCCTCCGCATCCAAGCCCTGACAAGTGTCCAACGGGGGATGAAAAATTAAGATAAGATGACTCCCCCATGGGGTGTTTCTTTCGAGAAAGGTCTGAATTTTTAAGCATGGTTTCAGCGACATTTGGTGGTGGTGTTGAGTGTGTGTGCGTGTGTGTGTGTGCGTGTGCATGTGTCTGTGTAACTTCAGTTGTTCCCTTTGGGACTACCCACTCCAAGCCGTCTACCATTTCCAGTAAAAGCTCTGGAAGCAGAGAGTAACAAGACGAGAGAGAAACAGAGACCAAGGGAAGGAAGAATACATTTCTTTTCCAACATGAACCTTCACAGTCCTACCTGAAGATACACCCCTGAGGGCTCTAAAACCCTGTTTTAGAAACACTGAGCATTATGTTCCTGTTTGGTCTTTTTTTTAATACCGATTCAAAAACTTGCCTGTGTCAGCATCTTGAAAGCAAAGGTCAAAGCTAAGGAAAATAGCCTTGACTATTTTCCAACCCAGGGAAGATTATTATCTGTGTGGAACTGAAGTCTTCCCTTTTGAATCCACAAAGCTGGGTGAAACCACTGCAACCCCAGAGGCCCCAGGATGGGAGTCTGTGGTCAAACCCACTCCTGCCGTGCCTTTGACCCTGCCAGAGAGCCCCGTGGAAGGACATTTCAGTAGCATATCCCCCTACACTCAGTTCCACCACAGCCAAAGTAGCGGTATAAGGTGGCTCCTTGCAATTTTCTAATTGTTGACAAACCCACAGGGCTATTGTATTCTTTGCCTCCTCTGTCTCCAGGCCCTGTGTGCTCTGGTACTCTCCTTCTGGCTCACTTGCTGTTCCTGGCCCTCCCTTACCCCATCTCAGGCCAGGCCAAGGGCAATGAACCAATTAGGAAGACACTCCCTTCTGCTTCCTATGAGCAACACCAATCAATCAAGATCACTGTTGGCTTTGCTACCAAGTGCTCTTTCCTCCAGACATTTTAAGTGGCTTCCTGGAATTTTGAACGTTCTCATTAGCCCTCTGCACCCCTACTTCTCCCCAGACTAACAGGCTTCTGCAGACAGACGGGGTTTGGGAGGGGGATGGAATCCCGCTGGGGCTGACCTTGCCACTGGATGGCAGGAGCATGTGGCTCGCCAAGGTGAAGGGGTGGATGAGCAGAGGAGGAAAGCACCCCCTCTCTGCTTCTCATGGTCAAGGGCAACGGAAGCTGCTAAGCCTCCTCCCCCTTTATGCGAAGGCCCGGCAGGCATGATGTCAGGAATAGCAGCCCCCACACCCCACGCCCCTAATACTCCCGGCCACTATTGGCTCAGCCCGCCATCAGTCTTCTTCGGTGCCCCTCACCCGGGCTGGGGGTTCACCCCTCCCAATGCCACTTACTCACACTGACCCCCGCCACCTTCCCGCCCTGCACACCTCGAGGCCGCCTCTGCCCCCGCCCCTCGCCTTCCTTCCTCCACTCCGGGCTCCACGCCCAAGACCTGCGTCCGCCTAGGTCCCCAGTCCTGGGCTAACAGTACAGGGACATCCGGCTGCGGCGCATGGCCTCGCTGATCAGGTAGGCGGGGCTCAGCTCGGGCTCCTCTGTCATGATGGCAATGTTCTGCCACTCGCCCGTCTGGCTGGACCGCTTGATGGTGTCCACCACGCACAGGGCGTACAGGCAGTCATCGAAGGTGGCGGCCATGGTGAGCGGCCGCCCGTCCCACGTGCGCCGGTCGTCCTGGTCCTGGAAGGCCTGGCGCACGGCCTGCATCATCTTGATGGTGCCGCGCAGGTAGGGCGCCGGGATGTCGCTGAAGGCCTTCTCGGGCAGCAGGGAGTTGCTGACCGGCGTGGCGTCCTGCAGCAGCAGCTCCTGCTCCGCCGCGCTGTTGCGCTGCCCGTACAGGTCCGTGCCCGCCGCCAGCAGGCGCCCGGCCGAGCCCACCACGGTCACGTCCTGCTTGAACTCGCCGGGCACATTGAAGTTGAGGGTGACGGTGCAGCACACGCCGCCCTCCAGCACCATCTGGAAGGTGCAGAAGTCGTCGCTGGTGATCTGGCGGATGCCCTTGATGTGGTCGGTCTGCTTCACGAAGGTCTTGAGCAGCCCGTGGACCTTGACGGCCTTCTGGCCGGTGAGGAAGGTGAGCAGGTCGATGATGTAGGTGCCCACCGAGTGCAGGCCGCCGCCGCCCATCAGGTCGTCGCAGCTCCAGTTGTACTTCTTGCCCAGCAGGCTGCCGCTGTGCACCTGCACCTCGCACACCAGCAGCTCGCCCACGTAGCCCTCCTCGATGAGCTGCTTCATGCGCACGAAGGCCGGCAGGAAGCGCAGCACGTTGCCCATGATGCTCATGAGCTTGGGGTAGTAGTGCGCGGCCGACATCATGCGGAAGGCGTCCAGCGGCGTGGCCGTGCGGTCGCAGATGACGTTCTTGCCGATGCCTGCGGGCGGGAGGAGAAGACAGGCCGTGAGCGCGCGGGGTGAGCAGCGGGCGGGGGCGCGGCGTGCGCAGCGGGCGGGGGCGCGGCGGCCCGCGGGCGCTAATTCTCGGGGCCGACCAGGCCTGATGCGAGGGTCCCCCTTACGACCCAGGCTATTTTGTGGCACTGGTTACTTAGGCAAAAGTTACACCATCTATATTACATTTATAATACAACCTATACATAATTATCTTCATATTTCAGTGGAATTACTTTAGCATGAAACCACGGATCTAAATACTGACTCATTGTAATATATTTAAAGAGCCTGTATTTTGGAGAGGTTTTTAAATGCTTGCCAGTATATAATAGAAAACGCTTCGTTTCATGTTTCATGTCTATAAGTCTATAACATTTCATACACAAGTATATTTTACTTGTAAAATACTGATAATTTAAAATTTAAATATAAAATGTAAGTTCTATTGAGGTATACAATATCATCTTTTTACATATAAAATGTTTTGTTAAAATTATCTTCCATATGAGATGTTTTATAGCTTTATTTTATATATAAAACATAACGTATTAAAAATGTACTATTAGAAATACCCTATATAGGAAAGAGAAGAGTGTCTCTGTCTGGATAGAACCAGAATAGGCAAGCCTAAGTCATAGCCAAGGCCAGTCTGGTTAAATATGAGGAAGAATTTCTTAATGATATCCTCCGAGGTCTAAGCTTTTAGCTCTCTCCCCTACAACCACAAACAAAGGATTATATTTTGAGTATTATCCTGCTTGTTTATTTTGCATTATGGATTAGGGCTGGCAGTGGTCAGAGATACTTTTGTTTACTGTTTTTGCACTCTTGGGGAAGAGTGGGTATCCCCTGTTTCTGAGAGGTGGGCAACGGCTGGTTCCTCCCAGACCTCCATCTGGCTCATGGTGGGGTTTGATGCTTTTGGCCAATGCAGCTGAGGCCAAATAACAATTAGGCTTATGTGATGACTGTACTGGGTGCATAAATTACAGGTAGATTCAAGCCCTTTGGGAGACTAAGTGATTCTGGGCCTGGAGAAAACAAAGGATCAAAGGAAAGAAGAGTGACAGGCAATGAGAGGGATTTATTCTGTAGAAGCCAAGAGTGAGGGAAGAAAAACAACTCAGCTGAACCTGTAGAGATAGCCAAGTGGAACTTAATAATGATAATATCAATAATATTAATAATAATAGAATTACACAGACTTTGTTAGTAAGTCATATCACACAGATTTTGTTAGTAAGTCAGATTAAAGATTGCTAGGTGGAAATACTTGGAGAGCTTCTGAGTCAGGCCACGTGTCCCTCCCTGTGGCTGGTCTCTCTTGTCGAGTCACGCTTAGCACTTGGACCCTCTACTGGGAACCTGTCCACTCCAGCCACTGACGGGGGAGATACCCAAGGGAGATAGAGCAATGAGACACGCACTCCCATCCCATGCTGTGGGCATTCAACTTGAGAGAACCCAGGAAATCTCACAATAAGCTAAGCTGACATCGGGTTCTGTGGGGGTCCTGCAACTGTGGGTGTCTGTCCAGGGGAAGTGCCTGGACAAGGCCACGGTCTGCCCCGTGGCTCTCATTTTCCTGGTGGAAGAACTAGCCAAACAATAGACATAGCCAGAACAGACTGTAGAAAATAAATACGATTGTTGGTTGTCAATTTCCACACACACATTTAATTCTGGCCCTGAATGAAAGGCCTGGAAGCCTCACGATGACCACATCTCCTTGCCTTTTCCATGTTGGCAGAGCTGGCTGGTTTTTCTGGTGACCATGAACGATCAGTAAGAAGCTCCTTTAACTCTTAGCAACCAGCTGAGGACTAAGGCTCTGGGAGAGGGACGAGGAAGCTTTGGTTTATGTTACCAAATGTGCCACGAGCTTGTGAAACACAGTGTTCTGATAACACGATCCCGAAGGCATTAGGCTCATGTAACAGCAGCTCACGCTAGCAGGAGCAGATTTATATGTAAACGGATTGGTAGGTCATTGCAGGGACAGGTGACTAATGATGCCAAAGTATGCCTCGCACCTGCTGGGTATGGGCTGTGGCCTCTCCTATACCCTACCTCAAGGTATCCCCAAACCAGGACCCTGCCTGTCATCTTCTCAGTACACTCTTTCTGTCATCTTAATGGCACATGAGTAAAAGTTTCTTATTTTTCTATTATACTCCCAATTTTTTATTTTATTTTTTTATTTGAGAGAGCGAGAGCACAAGCGTGGGTGAGGGGAAGGGAAGGACAAGCACATTACCCGCTGAGCAAGGAGCCTGACACAGGGCTCGATCCCAGGACCCTGAGATCAGGACCTGAGCCTGAAGTCTGAGGCTTAACCGACTGAGCCACCCACATGCCTTTTTTCTATCATAAAAAAAAAAAAAACCCATAGGGGCACCTGGGTGGCTCGGTGGGTTCATCCTCTGCCTTCGGCTCAGGTCATGATCTCAGGGTCCTGGGATCGAGCCCCGCATCGGGCTCTCTGCTCAGCAGGGAGCCTGCTTCCTCCTCTCTCTCTGCCTGCCTCTCTGCCTACTTGTGATCTCTCTCTGTCAAATAAATAAATAAAATTAAATTTAAAAAAAAACATAAAATAGCCAAAGAAAAAACAGGGGAAATTAATTGACTTCCCATCCACACACCCAAAGCCATCACTAAATGGGTAATTTCTTGCAGCAGCATAGATGAAACGATTCTGTGGAAAATTCCTTCTCCAGAAAATACACTACGAACAGACACAAAAATGCCTCTCCCTTTCTGACACTCACGCATGGCTCCCCTGACGTCCTGAGATAAAGTCTATCTTCCGCTAGGCTATTTAAATATGTTGTGGCTTCACGCTACATGATGAAGTCCTCAAAGACAAAGCCTGGCTCTCATTTCTTAAGCCTCCGCTGTGCCCACGGTACCCAGTGGACATCGTGGCCTCGCCCCACCTCACGGCCCACCGTCTTTAGCAATATCCACACTTCCCAGAGGGGTGTCAGCAGCGTCTCAACTCGCCATACCTACAAAGCACAAAGGAGACCTCTAGGAATCTACCAGAAAGAAAGAAGCTAAAATGTAAGCATGGCTTGTTGCCCAAAGAGGCTTCTCACTGAATTATTTATTAAAACAAAAAGCTTGGAACAATGCAAATGCCCAATGACAGAAGAATGGTACGGAAGCCGCATAATGGGATAATTGTGGAGCTGCTGAACGTGATGCTAATGGAGACTTTCTGATGGCAGGCGAGAGGGTTATGATGTCATGTTACGTGAAAAGGGGCTCTATTCATAGACATACTATGATCTGTACTGTCTCTTAAACATACAAAAGAAGAAGAGAAAATCTGGAAGGGAACACCTCAAAATGTTTATAATGGTTAATTCATTCGTAGGATTATGACTGATTTGTATTTTCTTCACTAGGCTCTTCTGTATTTTCTAAGTTTCTCCTTTTATGGTCAGAAAAAATGTTCGCTTTTCTTCTTTCTTTTAAATGCTGTATTTATTTGGGCGCCTGGGTGGCTCAGTGGGTTAAAGCCTCTGCCTTCGGCTCAGGTCATGATCTCAGGGTCCTGGGATCGAGGCCTGCATCGGGCTCTCTGCTCAGTAGGAAGACTGCTTCGCCCCCCACCCCTCTGCCTCTCTGCCTACTTGTGATTTCTGTCTGTCAAATAAATAAATAAATAAATCTTAAAAAAAAAAAAGACTGTATTTATTTATTCGAGAGGGAGAGAGAGCATGCATGAGCTGGGAGGAGGGGCAGAGGGGCAGGGACAAGCAGACACTGCGCCAAGCGGGGAGCCTGATGGGGGGCTCGATCCCAGGACTCCCAAGTTCATGATTCCAGTTGAAGTCAGATGCTCAACTGACAGAGCCACCCCAGGTGCACCGTAGCTTTCCTGTCTTAAACCCGAAGGAGACATGAAGACCTTTGAAGGATCATGCTGACATGATGGCCAAGGGCCCTCCAAGGTCTAGGGTGGCAGGCAGGTGCAAGAGCCAGCGGACCTGTCCCAGCACCCCCTGCCCCAGCGGGCTGGTGAGAGCTCCACTGACCCTCAGTTGTGAATGCTTCAGAGGCTCAGGCTATGTTGCTACGTCTTCTGGTTCCAATTCCTCAGGACTTCAAAGCTATGGACTCTCTTCAGAAGATGCAATTCAAACATACACACAAAACTATACCCACACCTCAAGCCCCGGTACAGTTCCCTCAGGTTCCAAGGAGCAGGCCTCTCCATCATATACTGTACAGTAACTTCTTCTTTTTAAAGTATGTATGTATGTATTTTTATTTTTTAAGTAGGCTCTGTGCCCAAGATGGGGCTCGAGCCCACAACCCCCAGATCCAAGAGTCCCATGCTCTACCAAGTGAGCCAGGCGCCCCATACAATAATTTCTTGAAGGCTTTATGTTAAAAACGAGATAACACTTCCAGTTTTAAAAGAAATCCAAAATGCAGAGCTAATAGACCCTTCACTGATTTGTGGAGCAAATTCCTTTTCTCTCTCTTCTGGATACTTTTACCTTAACCCCTCCCCGTTTGGTGGGGTTTCTACTAAGCACCCTCTGGAGCTCCCCAACATCCTCAGGTCCTCTTTCCCAGCTTATCCCCACCAAAATGCCCAGAACCTGAAGCTCCAAATCCTTAGCCATTTAACAAGAACAAAGGGCTTAGGCTAAAGAAATAGAATTCTTTTTTTTTTTATTGTTTGCTTATTTGGTTTTCTGATTTTTGTTTTATTTCAGTTTTACTGAGGTATAATTGGCATATAAAATTGTAAGATCTTTATTTTTAAAAAAGATTTTACTCATTTATTTTAGGAAGGCAGGGGCCGAGGGAGAGAGAGAATCTCAAGCAGACTCCCTACTGAGCACAGAGCCTGACCTGGGGATCGATCCCACAACCCTGAGATCATGACCTGAGCTGAAACCAGAAGTTGGGCACTTAACCCACTGAGCCACGCAGGCGCCCCTAAAGTTGAAAGATACTTAAG